GAGAGCAGCAGCTCTGTCCTGCACAGCTCTGTCCTGCACAGCTCTGCTCTGGGTGAGGCAGCTGCTTTCCAGTGCCTTGTCCCTCCCGTGGACCACATCTGCATTTCGGATCAGCCCCATCCCAGACGAGAGAGCAGCTTCTCACCCCTGGACTCTTGCATGAGCTGGTTTAGCAAAGAACCAAAACACTAAAGCCAAGACATTTCAGCTGATTTTCCCGTTTCCCTGCAGTGGAGGTGAGGCTGGCAGGTTCCAACCCCTGTGCCATGGAGCTGAGCTGGGGGGCTGCATCGAGACCTCTGTGGAGGGGTTGGACCCAGCAGGATGTGCTGGAAGGAGGGTTTGTGCACGGAGTGGAGCAGGGTGAGGCAGGATGAAGCTCTGGGAGAACCATGGTGGGACAGGGCAGGGGCAGGTGACACGTGGGCACTTGTCTCCTGGGGACAGCTGGGTCCCTGTACAGGTGTCCCCAAATTCAGGGCTGTCTCCCTATGGCAAAGCAGCATCTTCTGTCTCCCTCGGAGGGCTCTGTGCGTTTCAATGTTCCCTTGTCAGCGCGGGGGGCTCAGAGCCCCCTGTTCACCCCTCTGCTTTTCCCACCTGGGTGCCCCCACTTTGTTTTTCCCTTTTGCCTGGAGCAGCCCTGGTGCTGCACCGGAGCTGGGGGGACCCTGCTGTGACCAGCAGGTCCAATCCTGCTGCTGCCAGCACTGCTGGGAAGGGGCCTCGTGGCCAACTGAGCCCAGCCTCTGGAGTGCCAGGAATGACTGTAGGCTTTTCAGAGGAGTGGGTGGGTGGGAGGGGAAGGGGGGACACCAAACCAAATGATTTGATGAATGAAAAGTAGAGTTCATTCTATTTAATTAATGTACAAAATGTGTTTGTATATAATAATAAATATTATCTCTAACAGCTCCTGCAGCTCTGCCCCACGTCCTGTCCCGTGTCCTGGGCTCCCGCTGGAACGTGATGTGTGGGGGTCCTGGGGGAGGGGGTGAATGCTGGATCCTGGGGGAGCCCCCCTGTCCCGGGGTGTGGCTGTCTGGGGTGTCACGTCCGTGTCCCCTGGCAGGGCTGGGGCCGAACAGCAGCCCCGTCCCCGCCGTGCTCAGCAGTGCTGGGGAAGGGCTGCGGGGCTCCGAGTCCTTCCACGGCCACCCACAGGGATGGGGAGTTATTCCGTGTCCTCGGGAGGGAGGGGAGCACCGAGGCACACTCTGTCCCACTCCCTGTGTGGCACCTCCATCCCTCTGCCCGAGGGAGACTCCGGCTCTGCTTTGCGGTGGCTCTGGGATCAGCCCGGCTTTGCTGCCCTGGAGCTTTCTCTCCAGAGGGAGGTTTCACTCCCGGCCTGTCCTGCTGCCCCTCTCTGTGGGACCTTCCTGTTCCTCCTCCTAATCGCTGCCGTCCTGCGGTGGGGCTGAGCTGGGCCTGCGGAGGAGGGAGGGGAAGGGGAAGGGTTACTCTCGGGCCAGGCTTGGCTGCATTCAGGATGCAGCTGGAAGAGGAAAAGCAGACTTCACATCGGTCATCTTTATTTACATGGTGTAAAAGCAGAGTGGGGCTGTGGGGCTGAGCTTTGTCTGGGTGCTGCAGGGGCCTCTTGCCCCATCTCAAGTCCCCTAAAAAGAACTCCCTGCCCTTCAAACCCCCACTGCCGGCAGGAAGCAGGAAAGGAAGAGATGAAGGGCCCCAGAGGTTGGGCAGCCCCAGGACATCCTCCCTCCCTTTTTCCTTCCATCCCTCCCCTCCACTCCTGCTCCAAGCTGGAGGAGTGGGTGCCCTGCCCTGCCCCGCCCTGCCCTGGGATGCTTTGGGGGGTCCCTGCCCCCGCCTCACCTCTCCTCCTGGGGCTCCTCGGGGGCCAGCAGGGCGGGCAGTGCCCGGCCACCCTTGGCTGTGCCCAGCACGGCCACCAGCTCGCTCTTCCTCAGCAGGGCCGCGCGCAGCTGCTCCCGCATCTCCTGGATCTTCTCCTCCAGCTCCCGGAGCTCGCTCTTGCTGGCTGCCCTGTCCGGGGGCTGCGGTGCCTGCCCGTTCCCGGGGTGCCGTGGGGACCCCTCACCCTCGGGGGGGGCTTTGTCCAGCTGGAATCGCACCCGCCGGGCCTCCTTCCGCAGGGCACTCCAGGGCTGTGCTGCTGCCGGTGCCGGCCTGGGCTGGGGCTCACCCCTGTGTGGGGAGGCAGAGAGGGCTGAGCTGAGATCTGGTCCCTCTGCGGCCCCCCGGGATGGTGGGGTCCATAGGGAGGAAGAGAAGAGTGGGCAGGCTCTCAGCCCTGGCTGTACCTCTGCTCCAAATTCAGCTGCTGGCTCTTCCTCTCCTCCGTGCCCATGTTCAGAGCCCGATGGATTTTCTGTGGGGAGCAAGGGAAGAGTGAGATGTGGGGTGATGGTTTTGGGATTAACTGAGGGTGATGGTCCAGGGGTTATCTGGGAGTTGATGGTCTGGGGCTGGAGGAGGGCAGAGGTGGTGTAAGTTAAGAGGGAGCAGAGGCATGGGGCCAGGGGTCTTTGGGGCGCTGGGTGAGCCCCTTCTTGCTGACCCCACCTGGCTCGTGTGCAGCCAGTAGTTGAATTTCTTCTTGCGCCGGATGCGGGGCAGGACCAGGCGGTAGAAGACGTGCTCGCCCAGCGAGGTGAGCAGAGAGCCACTGAGCCCGATGCACAGCAGCACGAACAGCCCCGAGAAGTGGTAGATGCCCATCTGCAGGGTCTGCAGGGAGCGGGGGGTGTGGGCTGGGCTGGGGGGGTGTCAGACCCCAGAGCCCCCCCCGCCAAGGGCTGGCCACCAAACCTCGGTGACGGCGAAGACGCGCTTCCCACAGGGCACCATCTTGTACCACTTGTCGTGCAGGAGGTCGATGAACCCCGAGGACTTGTAGCGGCTGATGAACTCGGAGACGTTGGAGGTCAGCGGCGAGTTCTGGGGGAGGCCGATGCCGTAGCCTGGCCCCAGTGAGGGGGGAGAGAGGGGCAGCGCTGGGACAGGGGGTACAGCCCCCAGTGCCCTCCACGGAGGGGGCACCTCCCCACCCTGCCCGGTCACGGCAAGGCGTGACCACAGCCAGAGCACACGTGTGTACACACATGCACACACATGCACACACATGCACACACATGCACACACACAGGACCCCTCCCCACCACAGCCCCCCCAAACCTTCGATGGCAAAGGGTTTGCCCACGGTGAGCAGTTTGCAGTCGGAGTCGATGGAGACCTCGTAGTCCAGCAGGGATTTGTCCATGATGAAGGCATTGAGTTTTGGGGGCTCTGTCCTGCACCAGCATGGAGGGAAGCTCAGGGAGGGGCTGTTCCCCCTTTCCCAGCATCCCCCCAACCTGACACCCCTCCCAGGGGTGGGAGTGCTCGTGTGTGTGTGGGGGTGTGTGCACAGGCTGCAGGGAGGGTGCAAAAGCTGCCCTGGGAGGAGTAAAAGGTGGGAGGGAGCCCCCCATGCCCTTCCTGCTCCTCACTTGAGCATGGTGACGCCGTCGGGGGTGGTGGGGACGTTGTAGCGCCGCATGTACTCGTGCATCTCAGGGAAGCTCTTCTTGATGTACTCCTCAGCACTGCTCTCCCACACCGTGCCGAAGCGGAAGCCCTGCGAGGGGTGATGCAGCTGGAAGGAGGCACCAGAGCATCAGCACCCCTGCCCAGGGACGTGTCCCCAGCCCTGAGCCCCAGGCAGGGGGCTCTGGGCAGCCTGTGGAGGTACAGCAGCTTTTTGGGGGCAAAGAGCACCCCCCCAGAGACAGCCTCAGGACAAACCCAGCCTAGTCCCCCTTGCCCTGGAGCTGAGGCCAGGATTAAACACCAGGGTAGGGGGGCTACAAAGCTTTCTGGGGGTCACAATGACCCCCCCCCAGTCTTGGAAGGGGCCACACTGCAGGACTGAGGCTAGAGAGAACTTTCACATTCATTCCAACAGGGAAGGTGCAGAAGGAAGGACAGGATTTTCCTTCCCACCTTCCCTGGACCTCAGCCCTGTCTCAGCCCATCTGAAGCAGCCGGACACTCACCCACCTTTGGGTCGTGGATGCCCGAGAGCTCCTCGAAGGTCTTGTCCCCCACCATGACGGCCGCCAGGTTGGCCGTGTAGCTGGAGAGCACCAGGAGGCAGAAGATGGCCCAGAGGTTCATGAGGAAGCGGCCGGTGCAGCACTTGGGTGTCTTGCTGGAGACAGTGCGCCCAAAGAGGATGGCATAGCACAGGTTGAGGGCTGAGGAGTAGGAGAAGATCTTCATGCGGTTGCGGCCGTGGGGGGTCATGCCGTAGGGGCTCTTCCACTCGTAGAGGGTGAGGAAAAGTGCCGTCATGTGCAGTGCCACGAAGACGCCCACCCACATGGTCCAGTGCAGGGGCCACATGAAGGCTCCGATGGGCGACGCCGTGTCCTTGGTCCTCACCAGGATGCCCAGGCTGGTGGAGAAGAAGGGGCTGGTGAAGTCGATGACTTTGCTCCGCGCAGAGTTGATGCTGAAGGAGGTGACGGCCATGTGGGCTGTGCCACTGAGCAGGTCCCCCACCAGTCCCGTCCAGCGCCCGTTCTTCCAGGCCCCGTATTTCCCATCGCCCACGATGTAGAGCTCGAAGTCAAAGGCCATGTCCTCGGCCAGCTTCTCCAGCAGGTCGATGCAGTACCCGTAGCAGCACTTCTTGTACGCCCGCGGCACCGAGCCATTGCCGGCGCCGAGCTCCTCGAAGAGGGTGTCCAGCACGGCCGAGTCGTTGGTGCCGGGGTCCAGGCAGAGCTGCCCGGCCGGGCAGTTCCCTTCCTCATCCACCTCCCTGGTGAAGACGAAGGGGTGCTCCACCAGCGTCACCACGCGCAGCCGCGCCCGGGCCCCCCCGGCTGCTTCGCTGGGGCTCTTGTGCTGCCGCTGGCTCTGCCACATGCCCTCCTCCAGCTCCAGCTTGCCATGGCTCCAGGTGCCCACTGTCACCCAGGTGGGGTCCCCCCGAGAGTCCCGACGCAGGCTCCAGACATGGAACTGCTGCTCCGGCCGCACCAGCGCCGCCTTCTCCACACGCACCAGCCCCGTCTGACCACGGAAGGACGTGTTGGCCAGGAACCTGCCGAGGGGAGGGAGTCACAGCTCCAGTGTCCCAGGTCAGCTGGGACCAAGGAACAGGGACTGGGAGCAGGATGTGCCCAGCTCGGACAGGGACAAGGTCAGGGAGGAACAGCAGGATCCGGCCCCGCTGTGCTGCCCCGCAGCTCACTGTGCTGCCAGGGCCAAGGGTTATTAATATTTATGGAGCCACGGTGCTCGGGCAGCATTAGGGAGATCTGAAGTGACACATCCCCCCCTGTGCAACACAAACTGTGTCCCGGGGTGGGCTGAGCCCCACGGCAGCCGCTGCACACGCTGGGGACAGCACCGGGCAGTGCCCTGCACTGAGCACAGTGGTCACCCAGCTCTGCCCTTGCCCCATCCCAGGGGTGGGGCACAGCCCCCCCCATGCACCCCAATACCAAAGAGCCGGGACAGGGGGAAGGAGGCACCCTCAGTAGCCCCCTTACCTGGCAAGGAACAGCCCCGGGGACTCGCCACTCGCCCGGTGCCTCTCGCTGCAGTTGCTCGTGGTCTGCAGCAGGGCGGGGTCGGGGTGGCCGCGGGCGGCGCGGGCGATGGCCCGGGACACCAATCCCACCGCGTCCTGAACAAAGAGCTCCAGCGGCGGCCGGTTGACCTCACCGAAGGCCAGCAGCCCCGGCAGCCCCTCGGTCTGGCAGCTCGTTTGCGCCGAGCGGGGAGCCCAGCATCCAGTGGAAATTCCTGTTAGCGTTGGCAGCCCCGACTCCTCGGCTGCCTGGAAGACGAGCCGAGCACGGGGCAAGTCGCAGCCCAGCACCAGCACCGGGCTGGAGAGGGTCCTGACATGCTCCCTGTGCTGCTGCAGGTAGCGGGTGGCCCTGGGCTCATCCAGGTAGCCCAGGTCCAGGACGGTGCGCAGGAAGAGCTGGGAGCGTTGGGCCCAGAGGTTGAGGAAGCCGGCGACGTCCCAGGGGTGGCAGAGCACCAGGCTGGTCTCCTGCCAGTTACTGGCCTGCAGGATGCTCACCAGCACGTCCACCAGAGTCTCCAGTGAGCTCTGCCGGTCCATGTGGAAGTGGAAGGGGTTCTGCCGACACACAGGGGTCGTGGCCATGCCCCTGCTCACGGGAAGCACCCAGAGGCAGCACCAGACACGGACCCTCCCATCCCGAGGTCACCCCGTGCTCCCTGCCCACCCCCTGCCCACTCCTGGTCTGGAATCCAGTGCCAGAACACGTCCCAGAGTCCTTCTGGAGCCAAACCGGAGTTGGGACTGGGGCTGAGGGGCTTCCAGAGGAACCAGAGAATTTGCCTTGGAGTGGGAGCTGGAACTGGGGCTGGGATAGAGCCTGACAGAGGGACAGGAAGGAGCTGAGATGGGAGCTGGGATAGAGCCAGGACAGGGCTGGAATGGGGGCCAGGAGGGGGCTGGGATAGAACAGCGATGGGAGCCAGATAGAGCCAGGATGGGCCCGGGATGAAGCTGGAATAGAGCCAGGATGGAGGTGGAATGGGGGTGGGATGGGGCTGGGGTGGGAGACAAGATGGAGGGAGAACAGAGCCGGGAGGGAGCCCGGAGGGAGTCGGGATCCAGAAGGGATAAGGGGCTGGGATAGATTCGGAATTGGAGCTGGGATCGGAGCCGGGATCAGGACCGAGATCGGAGGCAGGACTGAGCCGGGAGGAGGACCCGCGCGATAGAGCCGGTATGGAGCCGAGACGGGGACCAGGAGGGGAGCACGGACGGAGCCGGGATGGGCACAAGGACGGAGCCGACGAGCAGGGACGGGAGCGCGGGACCTGGAGCTGCGTCCCGGCGGGCCCGGCGCGCCCGGGCCGGGCCGGTGCCGGTGAGGCGGGCGCTGCGGGTCTCACTGCGCTCGGGAAGGGCAGCGGCCCGCGGGTGTTCCAGGGATGCTGAACGAAAGGGACCTGGAGGGCGGCGGCGAGGAAAGTCGGAGCTGGGCAGCATGCTCCCGGGCGGGAGGGCGGCAGCGCCAGGACGGCGGCCACGCCGCGTCCCGCAGAGCCCCGCACAGCGCACCGCGCCAGCGAGCGGGGTCCCTCGCTGCCGGGCCGCGCCCCCCACACCTCCAGGCTGAGGTTGTGGGCAAGCGGCCGCTGCCGGGGTTCCCCCCGGGCCCGGTACCGGCGGCCCGGGCCAGCGCGGCGCGGAGCCGGGCGCGGAGGCGGCCGGCGCAGCAGCGCCCGCAGGCGCACCGGCGGGGACCGGGCTCGGGGCGGGCGGCCCCGGGGGGTCGGACGCCGGCAGGGATGCGGGTGTCCCCCGCCGCCCCGCGCCGCCCGCCAGCAGCAGAAGCGCCCGCAGCCCCTCCATGAGCCCGCGCGCCCGCCAGCCGCACCGGCCCCGCACCGGCCCCGCCGCCGTGTCGCTCCGCCAGGGGCGGGCTCCGGGGCGTACCCCGGCTGCGGGCAGGGCGACCGGCGGGTCCGGCCGGGCCCCCGCTGGGCAGCGCGAGCCACCCGATGCGCGGGGGTCACTCCGCGACCCGGCCCACGCAGCGCCGGATCCGCCCGCAGCCGCCCCGTCCACGGCCCACGCACGACGCGGTCCCCCTCGCTGCGCGACCCCGCAGAAAAGGGGGCCCCCGCCCGCGCGGTGCTGCCGTCCGAGGGCTGTGACCGTGGGGTCCCCCGGCACAGGGACCTCCGCTGTTCTCTGGGTGGTCCCGGCCGCCTTTAGACTACCTGGACCTTCCTCCTCCTCTTCCTCCTCCCTCTCCGGCCCGGGAAAAGCCCCTCGGGGCGGTCCCTTAGCCGGGGTAGGAGCCGTAAATTGTCTCCCCCGTCCCGGTACCCCCCCTCTTTTCCCCCATCCCTCTATTCCTCCACAATCTGAGACACAGCCTCAAAATCCGGGGGTCTCGAGGCCGGGGGGTTCCAGGGCCGAGGGATTCATCCTGCTGTGTGGGGAAGGGGCGAAGGGAAGCAGAGGCACAGCCTTCTCCCGCTGAGCGGGGAGACGTGGGGTCACCCTCCTCATCCTCACCAGGAACCGGGGCCCTGCCTGGCCCGGAGGTCCCCACCACCGGCAGCACAAACAGCAGCGACTGGGGCCGGAGCTGCACGAAATTAATAAGGGAAAGCGAAGGATGGAGCCAAAAACCATCTGGCAAAAAGTATCGATCCACAGACAAATGTAATGAGTCACAGCCTAATGAATTCCTCTGCGGAGCTGGACCCAAGGGGGAGGGCAGAGTGGGTCCTGCCAGGGCACAGAGGGTCAGGGAGTGCTGATCTCCCCCGGAGTGGGATCCTGACAAAGGAGCCCCCAGCACCTCTTTCCCACAGGGATAAGTGTGGCACAGCACCCACTGTCCAGGCAGGAGCTGGGGAGGGGGAACAACATGATCTTGGTATGAAATAGCCCCCCAAATGCTGGGTACAGCACAGTTGGGAAGTCCCATCCTCCCTCCTGCTCTGTCCAAGTGCAGCACCCTGACAGGAACCCCACTGGGGGACTGGGAAAGTGTGGGATGACTGGAAGGGAGCACTGAGGTCTGGGTTTGGTTGGGGGCTGTATCCCTGGGGATCTGGGACATGCTCCCACCTCTGCCCCCACTGCAGCCCCCGGCTCAGGGCAACGCTCCCTGCTGCAGCTGATGAATGTTGATCCAAAGTGTCAGAATCCAAAGGAGGAAGATGAGGAGCAGGAGAGGAAGGAAAAGGAACGGACTCGGGTGATTAAGCTAAAAGCATTTTCTGGGGAGCTGGCAGGAGCCAGGGCCACACGGACACTCTGGTTTTAAAGTGCACTTTAAATCATCTGCATTTGGATCTGGTATATTGAACAGGGTGTGGGGGGACAGGGGGTGGCCACGGGACACCTCGACACCCCACAGGGGCAAGGAGGGACCTCTGGGGTGAAGGTGACTGGGCAGCTCGGGGATGAGGAATTGCTTCCCTGCTCCCAGCAGGCAGCCCCAGGGACATGGTGATGGGTGGTTCAGGTCTGTGGCCACCCAAGGGGTGTTAAAGAAAGAAACTCGGGCATCTTTCACTATAAAAACAAATCTTTTATGTAAAAAATAAACCTAAACAAAACCCACAACCCCCGCTGCCATGCTGTGACAATACAAAAGGCCGAGTCCCCAAACACCGTGAAAACAGAGTCGTTGGATCCAAATATATATAAATTGTCAACTGACGAGATTGGAAATAGCACCTTGCTGGCCCCCCTGCCCCTCCCCAGAGTGACCCTGTGCCCCAAAACCACCACCCACGCTCTGAGCCCAGGGACTCCCCAGGCCCTGCCCACTGGACAGGGTGGGTGCCCCCTCCTCAGCCCTGGTACCCAGGGACCCCCACCTGCCTCACGCAGACCCCACTTGCCCCGGGCACCCCCGGAGCAGGAGCTGCTCAGCCCCCGCCGTCCCGAGCGCAGGGTCCCACTGAGCAGTGATCCCCAGGGCAGGGTGGGTGGCAGGGGGGCTCCAAAATCCAATCTCAAAACGGCATTGAGAGAAAAACACTTTTCTGTCTGCACTGCAGGGTCAAGTAACAAAAAGAAACAAAAAAAGGGGCAGGGGAAGAGCCGGGGAAGGAGCAGGAGCTGCATCCTGAGCTCTCCCGCAGCGGCCCCCGAGTGCCCCGAGTGCCCTGGCCCCGAGTCGGGGTGGACACGTTCCCTGTGCTGCCCCGCCCCGCAGGCCCCCGTGCCGGCTCAGTCCGTGTCTGGTCACGGGCGTGGCCGTGTGTGGTGCCTTGCCGGCTGGGCAGGGAGAGGTGGAGGGGTGCGAGGGCGGGGGGAGCCTCTTCACTTGGCTGGATTGGTGATGATGCGAGCGGAGAAGTTAAAGAGGTCCTTGTTGATTTTCCGGAGGTTGCTCACCTCCTCCTCCAGCTCGCTCACCTGGATCGTCAGGTGCTCCTGGTCTCCCACCAGGTTCTGCACCAGGAAAACATAACAGACAAGCATCAGTGTCTCAGCTCTGGCAGGTGGAGGCTGCTGCTCCCTCCACAACAGGAAACCCCAAACCCTTCAGTCTTCTCCCTCCTCCTCCTCAAGCCATAGCACCTCCTGCTCATGTCACCAGCAGATTCCAGGGCTCTTCCCCCCAGTTCCCAACTTGCCCCAGACCCCACGAGTTGGATCAGCTGACAAGGACCCCCCAAGGGGTCTGTGCCCGATTCCCAGCCTGGGAGCAGCTCTCACCTTTTCCCTCGTCAAGTACATCTGCGAGTACATCCTCTCTGCCTTCTCCAGGTAGCTCTGCCCGGGCTCCTGCAGGGACCAGACCAGAGGGGTTGGCAGAGCAGACATGGACCTTCTCCCAGTGGCCCTGGGCAGGGTTCCTTGTGGGAGGGACCCAGGGTGATCCTGCTGTCACCTCTGCCAAGTGAACAGCCCCCCTGGCCTGCTGCCACCTCCCCAACAGGGAGCTCATCCATCAGCTGTGACAGGACTGTCACTGTCACTCGCCCAGGGACAGACGCTGGCAGAGGGGAGCAGCTCTGGGACCACCGTCAGAGAGGTCGCAATGGACAGGACACTGATGGTGTGGGACCCCCAGGTGGTGGCCAGGAGACGGCCATGCCAGGGCCGAGGAAGTGGTGGGACAGCAGAGCCAGCCCACTCTGCAGCTGGGAGGACAAATGACTGCAGCAGCCAGAGACGGGGAGGAAGGCAGGAGAGCAGAACGGGTGTCACCAGCTGGAGGAGAAGCTTTGCTCCAGCCCAACCCCTCCCCGATG